CTGGTTAATTGAAGTATGTGTTGTGGAAAGTAAACAGATGTATTTTAGACTATATTTAACGTGTTGGATAATTTAAGTATATGTTGTAGAAAGTCGACTATTGTACCTTGTACTGTATTTAATTGTCAGATAATTTAAACGTGTGTTATAGAAAGTACACCACTGTACTGTGGACTTTATTTGATGTAACTCTACTGCATGACACGTACAATACTCGCAACATACCTGGAGACTTACAGATTTCACTTTCATGTACGAGCCTCAAACTAAGCCTTAATATTTAACAACCAAGAGTAACTTCTTTTTGATACAAAAGTACCTTACATTTGTAATATAACTAGAGGAACACTCAGTAGAGCGCATACCTCCGCCACACGGGATTGATCATATTCGGCACTCAATAAATCCGAAAATATGACCGTAAGTCCGTTGATAACAACAGACACAGACCATTTTTGGCCGGGCAATGAGGAATAATATTTTACAAATGTCCATCAAATTTTATAAAAATCTAATCATTTTGACTGAGTTATAGAGCAAAGATAGTGTGAAAAATTGGTCCCCCATGTTAACAGATAGGGATTTATTTATCGTCATTACCTTGTTGTGACCTTGACCCTCTAAAAACTAATCACTTCTAAGTTGGGTCATAGTCCAAACGTATATCAACTTTCGTCCAAATTTATACGGCTGTTTTTGAGAAAGCTTGCTGCTAAACACACAAGCACACAGTAACGGAGGTAATAAAAAAATCAGGAGTTACTACACTAGTACTTTAAAGGAGAAAAAAGTATTATGTTTAATATGAATATTTGAACACTTGACAAGAAAAGCATATTGGAAAAATAAATGGTTGTATTTATCAGTAAGCAGTATAGTTTAAAGAAGATAAGAAAAGGTATTTTTTTCTGATGTTAAAGCAGCTTATTAGTGCCTAAGTTTCCAATATTTTATTGTACCTGATCTATTTAATGTAGGTATGTTTTTCTTTTCTTACAGGTTGATGCATGATTTTAGAATTTGGAAAATACTAAGAGGAGATTAAGATTTTATAATTTTCTTTTAAGAATACCCAATTTGCCTTTAGGAGTTTTCTTGCCAAATTTCTGACCTAATCATTTGTGTTTTTACAAACATTTACAGAATGTGTTTAAAAAGTATGACTAGAATAATTTGCCTTTAGGAATTTTCATACCAAATTCGTGACTTCGTCATTTGTGTTTTACAAACATTTACAGAATTGTTTGTCCCCTCCAGTGGCACAGCGTTATGTCTGCGGACTTACAACGCTAGAATCTAGGTTTCGATAGCTCATTGTATAGCTTTGTGCTTAATTACAAACAAACAAACAGAATTTTTTTTAAAAAAGTATGGCTAGAACATAACAGTTTCTCTTTTCAATGTTATTTGAATACTTGTCTTTGCCAGCTTTTAAATCATTTCAATCTTCTAAACAACCTAAAGATGTCTTTAGTATTTTTTTCCATATACAGGATTCAAATGGGGTTTCTTAAAGGCTTCATTAAATTTATTGGATTACATTCATTGAGAAACATTACTTTCACTGTATTGCAAACTTTACGTCATTTACTGGTTTCACTAATTGAATGTCAGAAGAGATTGTATAATGCAGTTAATTTATTAGTTTCATCACGGTTAGTTTGGATTTACTGAATGAAAAATTATACCAAAACAAGTACTTTCGAGTCAGCATTTCTGCATAATTCCAACATTAACCAGGCTTTAAAGTTTTAAGAACCTCACATTTATGAGTATGTTTATAAAAAAAAAGCATCCACTTTGTCTCTCCTGTTATTTCATGACTGTTGCTTGTGCGAGTGGTAGCGAACCTACTAACTGTGAATATTAGACGTAAAATTGATTTCTTTATTGGTCATACTCTCCCAAGACCAATACTCATTTTCAGTATGTATGTAGTTGCTCAGTGATATTGCTTAAGTTTAGCTCCAGTATGTGGAATGAAATGTTGACTGGGCTTTGTTATGGAAATAAAAGCACTTTCTAGTATTTAAGTTTAGCTATTGATAACTTTGCCATTTTTTTACTGACACACATATATATATATATATATATATATATGTGTGTGTGTTGTTTTAATCGCAGGTTAGTTTTAACTTTTTACTTTTTTTTTTTTTTATTAACTGATTACCTATTTGTCTGTATAACATATTAAAGCACTGGACGTTGATGTATAAACTAAAAGCTGTGATAAATAAAAAATAAATAAATTCAAATCTGTTTCAGATGAATAAAAATATTTTGCCGCCTTCCGTTGGGTTTGAGTGTTTAACATAAAGGGCAAAGCCTTTAGTGTTTATTTTCTGATAATTAGATATGCATTTTGTTAATTTTGGTATCTGTTGAAGAAAATTGTTCATAGCATGCGGCTCAAGGAAAGTGCGGAGCGTCATTTTTCGGCAATGGAACGCAAATTATGGGGTTTAGGATTCACAATCCGACACTAAAAACTAGGCTATGCCTGAAAACGCAACTAATGAATAAACTCGGAAGGTGTGAGACAGTTAATTTGTTCATGAGAGTTTTTATTAATAATTACGGTTATACATAATCTACATGGAATATATTGAATTTTATTACCACAAATACGCATACAAGTAGATTTAGCTCCTGAATTATACTACACGTCTTTTGTTTATAATGTTTATATTGATATATATATCATCATTGTACTTTATTTTAAAAACTAACGAACTTGCACTGACGCAATATATGCTAAGTATGCACAAGCAACACGATACACCTTTTGATTAGAATAATTTCATGTATAATATTACGTTGTTTCACACATAAATTACATATATAATTATGTATTTGTAAATCTAATAAAGCGTTATAACGGTTTACCATTTTGTTATAAATATTTTACCCAATACATAATTTTCTTCAGCTAAATCTTTACAGAACTGGTATAACTTGCAAAAACAAAGTACCACAAAACTAAATATTCAGGTACGCGTCATCACAATAACTATTTTGGTGTACAAAGTTTTTTTTTGATAAAGTCATACAGATATAGATATCCCCCACCCCTCAGTTAACTATAAATATTCGACAACGTATCACAGACACCAACTTGACATGTGTCCAACATCTGTCAAACGTCAAATGATAATAATATTCCATTGTGATTAGACCTATGGCTGAAAACATTGGAAAAAAACAGGAACAGATCAGATTTAGTGTCCTGACATGCGGTGAGCCCCTTTACCGATATCAGACACTAATGTTACTGAAACACAATTAAATAAAACATGTAGGTTTTTATATAAATCCTGTGCTCACGAATATATTCTGCATTTATTCTAAATTCAGGTTAGTAACAGGTACTCGTATACTTTATATACACACTATAAACACTACAGTATTTTTCATAATTTAATTTACCCACGCGAGGAATGCAATAGGGCCAGAGAGTTTGAACGAACATTAAGATCAGTCAATAAGTAGTTTAAACATAGAATAAAACTACCAACATTTTCCATGAAGATATTCCTCGGAAAAATTATCATTCTTACAACGGAATTAAAAAATCGTTCAGGTGGATGATAAACTTTTGTTCCGATTGCGATTAAATGACATCTTGTTTATTGAAGAGTCACATTTTTTCCGAGGGTGGTACGTAACATACTTTATTTAGCGAAGAGTCACAAATTTTCCGAAGGTGGTACATAATACACTTTATTTAGTAAAGAGTCCCAGATTTTCCGAGGGTGGTACGTAACATACTTTATAAAGTGAAGAGTCACAAATTTTCCGAAGGTGATACGTAACACACATTTTATTTAGCGAAGAGTCACAAATTTTCCTTAGGTGGTACGTAACACACTTTATTTAGTGAAGAGTCCCAGATTTTCCGAGGGTGGTACGTAACACACTTTATTTGGTGAAGAGTCCCAGATTTTCCGAGGGTGGTACGTAACACACTTTATTTAGTGAAGAGTCCCAGATTTTCCGAATGTGTTACGTAACACACTTTATTTAGTGAAGAGTTATGGTTTTTCCGAGGGTGGTAAATAAAATATTTCTTGTTAAAAAACACACCCGAGCTGTTAACCACAGCAAAAAACAAACAAACAAACCAGTAATTGTGTTTGAACCCAGTCTGTGTAGTTACTAGATTTAGTAATATAGTATGAACTGGCGATCAGAAAATGATTAGTTGTTCATGATCAGTATGTATGCCGTCATTAAGTCGTCGTACCTGATGCACCCAATATTTTTAGTGTGACAAGATATCACCTCCATTGAGCGAATGACACGAGCAGATTTCGAAATTGACCTAAAACACAAGGTTCTCAAATCAACCAATGAGCAATCACAGAGTCCTGATTTATGCAAGTATATGTTTGTAGCCTAAAGCCCTAAATCTTTACTAAGTGCGAACTGTACGTTAAACATGTACAATTAATTAATCTAAACTTAATTTTTTGATATGCCACCGATTCGGTTTCTTTTTACTAATTTAATGATTTTTCTTCGAAGTTGGAAACTGGTAACGAAAACATCTTATATTGAAAGACTAAATATACTAAAGCTAAGACAGTAATGCGTCGACGTACAGGGAAATGAGAATAGAACTATCTAGACACGAGCCCCACACAGAAAGTAGCAGGAAGCTGGAAATTGAGCATGTTGGATGACTTGCTATTGATAGGCTTTGGGTTGAGCCATTTCGGATCGTGTAGATATTACAAGTCATTGAATCGCGCTTTAATTTCAGTTCTTGTCAGAGGGTGCGGGATAGTCTCGTAGGCTTGAGCACACATGCTGATTCCAGTGTTTATGTTTTACACTTAGGCTAATAGTTTTCCATTTGTGATATTAGGGATATAAGTTATTTCCGACAAAATCGTCTAGCTTTGTTTTACGTTTAGTTGGTAAAATTACGTAATTTATAAGTGTTCATTCGCTGAAGTATTTCAGATTGAAAGCTACCCATTTTAGCTTATACTACTTTCTTCTACGCTTGGTGACGTCACTTCCCCGTTGGTTGTGGACCGGATATCGGACGATTCTGTTGCGTGTCTGGTAGAGCTAATCACTGCTGCTGTTGCAACACTTGCTATAGCAGCACTCGCTGTAGGTCGAGCGAACCTCATACTGTGGCAGGCCCCGGATGCGCTGCTTTGGGTGCCACCCGAGCGGACATTTTTGTAAGGCTGACAAAGGCAGATGTAGAGCTTTGGTGTGAAAAGACAGCCGAGAGCAACTGTGGCGCTGATACTGATACACATACACAAACTGGCCAACTGAGTCTGTAAAACAAGAAAAAATGGTTTAATTTGAACACTATTGTTTTAAAGTTACGTGTACTTAAAAACTATATGTGTGTTTTTCTCCCAATAAGGAAACCTGACTATATATATATATATATGTATGCGTGTATGTTTCTCCCCATAAAGGAAACCTGACTTCAAGACGTATTGTCTACCTCTCTGCGTACATGTAAACACACATAAAACAAGCTCTATAAATGATATACATTAACATATTTCTTTATTCCTAAGAATACGCTTGTTCTAATTTTAACTAAACTCTGTATTCGACAGACTTTATCCAGACTAGATATATTTAAATAAATTAATTATTTGATACAATTCATTCGTGTAATTTGTTGTTGTTGTTGAATCTAAAACCGTCTAACCCGTAATAAACGTAGTACTTAATCTCGAGGTAAACTCTACACTAAAGCTGAAATACATCGATATAAATGTAGTGCCTTACCTTGATGTTAACGTTAGAGTGAAATGAAACCGTATAAATGTACATAACCTTCAATTAAACTGGTATATTTGCAGTAACTCTTCTTCACGTTAACGTTAGATATGAATGAGATTGGTATTAATACAGTTCCTCATCTTTTAGTTAACGTTAGAGACGAATTAAACTGGTATAAATGCATTACCCCCTCTTGAAGTAAAAGTTAGTGCTAAAAGAAATATATTTAAATGTAGTACCTTACCTTGAAGTGGACATTAGATCTGAAGGGAACCGGTATAAATGTAGTACCTAACATTCAAGAAAATGTTAGAGCCAAATGAAACCGGAATATGTTTAGTATCTCACCTTGTAGTTAACGTTGGAGCTGAAGAAAAATCGTGTAAATGTACCTAAGTTTGAAGTAAATGTTAGACCCAAAATGTATATCGATATAAATGTAATGCCCCGCATTAACTTAACGTTAGAACGTAATGAAACCAGCATAAATGTAATGCCTCATAACGAAGTTAACATTAGCGCTGAAATAGATCGATATAAATGCAGTGCCTGACCTTAAAGTGACCATTAGTGCTGAAGGAACCTGGTAAACATGTAGTGCTTTACCTTGAAGTAGATGTTAGAGCTGAGTGAAACCGATATAAATGCGTTACGTAACCTTGAAATAAGTGACAGAGCTGAAGGAATCTGGTAAATATGTAGTACTTAACCTTAAATTAAACTGGTATAAATGTAGTACTTAACCTTGAAGTAAATTGCTATAAATGTAGAACTTAATCTTGAAGTAAACTGGTATAAATGTAGTACTTAACCTTGAAGTAAACTGATATAAATATAGTACTTAACCTTGAAGTAAACTGATATAAATATAGTACTTAACCTTGAAGTAAATTGGTATACATGTAGTACTTAACCTTGAAGTAAACGATAGAGATGAAACAGATTAATACAGATATCCCAATTTAACATAAACGTTAGAACTGAAGAAAATCGGTATAAGTGTAGTATGTAGCCTTGACGTAAACGTTAGAGCCGAAGAAAACTGGTATAATCTTGAAATGAGTGTTGGAGATGAAGTGAATGTTTATTAGTGTATCCTTGAAGTTAATGTTAGAACTGAAGTAGACTTCGTTCAAAATTATTGTCTAGGTATGAGTATAAATTGTTCTTATTTTACTATCATCAGTGTTGATGTGCAAGTAACAAGAATATTTTTTACAATTCTTAGGTAAATAAAAGAAGAGGAGGAATCAAAGCTGATTTGAGATTATTCAGAATTATATAAAAAGAAAATCAGCACATAATCTTATGTTTTCAATGACTTAATTATTATGAATTATTATATTATATTATAATTATGAATTATTATAAGGATTATATTCTATGCTTGATGGCAATATTTATCAGGGCTATTTTATCCAATGGGCTAAAGGGGCAGTTGCCCAGGGCCCACCGTGCATTGCGAGTATTATAGTAAATAATAAAAAATTAAGTGTATAATAAAATAATAATAAACAATTTTTTAAAGAAATGTATATTTTCTTTTTTAAAAGCAAGGGGGTCCAATAGTTTATACTTTGTCCAGGGCCCACCAGGGCCTTAACGTGGCGTGATATTTATTGCCAGGGTTATGAAGTTGTTATGGGTTCTCAATTGACGCCTTCTTTAGTCAGTCTTTTATTTTATTTTCACGAGAAACAATGGCTGGAAGTCTGTCCGCAGTTTTTAACTGCTATGTATACTTCTGTAGGCATGTATACGCCACTTTTATCATCTTTAAAGACTGATCAAGTTTCTCTATTTTTCGAGAAATTGAACAGCAAATCTCTCATTTTTGGACACATTAGTTCATAACAGGGATGGTAACTTCCAATGTGTAGTATACCTTAAGAAGGCTTACTGGCTTGTATTTTAACTTCGCAAGCTTTATACCAAGTATTTCTAAAGACAATTGGGTATTTGGTGAAATCTTATTCCAATTTGTGTACAAGTTATCAAGTACTTATGAAGTACTTCGATATAATAATATCAAAGAATTCGTACGCAGATATGGTTTTTTCATATATTATTGACAATATATATCTTAACTATTTGAATAAACTAAGTTTCTGTAAATCGTTTACATATGAATCCCCACAATACCCTTTAGTTATAACTCTGTAATATATTGGCAAATATTCCTTAAATTAGAAAAAAAAGAACTGTACTCTGTAGGGTATATCATCAAATACATATTTTTAAAACTGCCTGTCGCCTACGAAGTTTCGTTAGGTTTGAGGACCGTATTCTTTTAGTAAAATCATTAAATGTTGTTTACGGATCTACTCGTCATTGTTGTCAGCATTGTGTCCACTAAAAGAACGTACAAGTTTAAGAAATGTGACTATATCAAGTATACTTTAACATCTCCTAAATGTGTGTGACGTAGTCGTGCATCCAAATTATTCAATGATGAACAGAGCTTCCGTATAAAATAAGGCTTACTCATAAATCAACTAGGGCCAGAAGGTGACCATGTTATCTCTGAAATTTATAATATCAATTCGCCACGTTGAAATCGTAATGAATTAACTTGTTTTTCATTTATTGTTGATACTGGCATATAGATATGTAATTGCTGTTTACCTTGAAATCATTGTTGGTGCTAATATAGATATGTAATCATAGGCTTAAGTCGCTCCTTACCTTGAAATCATTGTTGATACTGATATAGATGTGTTTAAACTGCTCCTTATCATGAAATCATTGTTGATACTGACATAGATTTGTTTAAACTGTTCCTTACCTTGAAATCATTGTTGATACTGACATAGATGTGTTTTAACTGTTCCTTACCTTGAAATCATTGTTGATACTGACATAGATGTGTTTAAACTACTCCTTACCTTGAAATCATTGTTGATACTGACATAGATGTGTTTTAACTGCTCCTTACCTTGAAATCATTGTTGGTACTGAAGTAGATGGGTATGAAAGCCAACCAAACAATGCACGTTGAGTACATGGTAAAGCCAATATATTTGGCTTCGTTGAAATTCTCGGGGATTTTGCGGGTTTTAAAGGCGTACACGGTACACAGGACTATCAGAAGCATATTGTAGATTAGAGAAACAATCATGGACATGCTGGAGATCCCACACTGGAGCACAGCAAAGTTACCGGTAGGGAAAGTCTTTTGCTTAAGGCTTGGCGGTTCTGCTATCAACCAGGCTATGGCAAAGACCAACTGAACCGATACTAGGGCTAAACAGATAACAACCTGGGATCGTGGGCTGGTATAGCTAGGTCTTTTGATGCTTTGAATTCCCCGATTGAAGATTCTGGAAATCCGATTGGTTTTGGTAAAAATGGCGGAGTAACATAGGCTTAAACATAAACCTAGGCCTACTCTCATTAAGCTGCACGTGGGGACTGTGGGTCTTGCTAGGATAACGAAGCTTACACCGTAACTTAGCAACAAACCTAACAGTAGCAAGTAGCACAGTTCTCTTCCGGAAGCCATGATGACAGGAGTGTGACTAAAGCGAATGAAGACAGCACACGTGAAAAGCGTGAAAACTATTCCCAATGCAGCAAATACAGCAGGTACAATTGCCCAAGGGCTCTCCCAAGTCATGTACACCAGCGGAAGCTTCGAGCAAGCTACCTTGTCACTTCTTGGCATATAACCTTCAGGGCATTTGGTGCATTGGTCATCCACAATGTACTCATCATTTCGACAAGGCACACAAACCCAACAGCAGGTGCCCTGTCGGAAAGCTCGCACGTGTCCAGCTGGACACGGATCACTACAGTTGGACATGGGGATAGTAGTGCTACCATCTTCCCATTTGGTTCGGTTTAGGTGAAGACTTAATCTGTTAAGAAAATACAATAGTTTACTGAGCGACAACGCACTACTAAAAGTATTTATGTCATGCTTTTGTTATCAGCTAAATTAATACTAACGTATCCATTCATTGTAAACTGCTAGTGGTTAAAAAATAATTAACGACTGTTTTTAATTCATTCCAGTCCTTAGAAAATAAAATTTGAAGACTGCCTGAATGGATCGTGAATAAAAAGGTTGTAGATTTGTAATAAAGTTTCTTTCACTTCCCATTCAAGCCGACTCCAAACTTTATTTTCCAAAAACTAGGTTTCTCGTCATCGAATTCTAGATCCCATGTAAAATTATTAGTATATACAGAAGTTTTTAGGTCTTTTACATCAGGTTTACTGTCGCAAGAAGATAAAACGGCGAAGTGTACTTCAATTCTTGAACATGAGTTTTATTTGTCATAATAATCCAAGTACTGGAACAGCTAAACCACAATTATATCAATATAATATAATATCAGAATGTTGAGAAAAGAATTATAACATCGTTCCAAATGATCGATTTTTCCACTATTTATTTGGGTCACGTTGATAGTTGTTTTTGCGCGGGTAATATTTTGAAAGTGATTTGGTCACGTTGATATTTGTTTTTGCGCGGGTAATATTTTGAAAGTGATTTTGCCCTGATTCGCGGTATCTCTCCGTATGTTTTTTTTGTATAAGTTTTCAACAATTAGTTGGGTTACTATTTCATTTACTAGCCGCCAGTTGCCTTTACCCAACTAAGAATAAAATATTAAATAGGATGAAGATTGACTCGTTTTCAAATTTACCGTACGTTCAATTATCAAATGATAAAACTAACAGAAAACCAACGACAGGAAAAAACATTAGAATAATTATTGTTTATATTTCTATCTTTTAAGTAGAGTTGTTTGTCTTCCTGTTTGGTGTCACTAATTTTTTTTTTTTTGAAATTTGGAAGAGGAATTCAGGTCGATCCCTTAAAACCCGAGTTTAAATGGATAAGTAATCAAACAAACGGTTCGAGTTTGGCAATCATTTAAAGTTTACCGCCTTTAATTTCGCGAATGAGGCTTAAATGAGCGGGGAGGTCGGTAGCATAGCAGATACAGTGTGATTGACACGTTCTAATATATTCTCCTTTACTTCCACTCTTTGCCTCCCAGTGGCACAGCAGTATGTCTATGGACTTACATTGCTAGAAACTGGGTTTCGATACCCGTGGTGGGCAGAGCACAGATAGCTCATTGTGTAGCTTTGTGCTTAATTACAAACAAACGACTACTTCCACTCATGGGTTATTATAAAATACTTGAAGATATCGCCAAACAAAACTGACGTTTAATGCCGCGTGTAACACGAGAACCTTTGCATCGAGCGAATGGCTCATGTGCTACAGCTGAAAACAGTGGAAGGGGTGGCCCACTCCCCATTTATAACATTAATGTTTAAGCTCGGCATTACTGTGAATCTTTGGTAGATTTGATGATAAAACTGTTTTTTTCATCAGATAGACGCTGGTTTCCAATACGTTTATGACCGTAAAGATTTAAGCATTTCCATAAAGTTATATACATATATTAATAAAAGGTTAGATTAAATCACCTTACTTTTGCTCACTCCATTCTCCAATTCGCTTGTAGTCGAACTTATGGCCATCTAGTTTTTGATACTGGTAGATGTAATAGCTTCCCGGAGCGTCTCCATCTTTGTTGAATCTGACAACGATGTTTTCATTTTGTAAACCTGGAATTGTAATTGGCTGTTGTGAAAGGTTCGGTAATTTTATTCAAAAGTATTTCGTTTCAGAGAACCTTGCACTGAAACAAAAAGAATGACAGAGAATTATACACAAAGATTTATTCTGGAAATTAAATATTTTTTGTACTTACTTTGAAAAGAAACATTTCGAATGTACTGTAAAAGGCTGCTGCCATGTGGAATAGGCAAAATTTCTTTGCACAAAACTCTGGAATTACCACACTGGTCACGAATCATGTCATCAAGTGCATGCGCCATAGCGTAAACGGCGTCTATAACGAATGGAACTAGGCCCTCCTGTTCGTATTTCGTAAAAGTTTCGTTTCCTAGGGCAAACCAAAAACACATGAAGGTTAGTAGTTCAATTAGAGAAAGCACATATGACTAACAGCAATGTGTTTAGATATTAAACAGGTATCTGGTGCAACTTTTAGCTGTGATATATAAAGTATATTACCAGTTGACGAAGCGCCATAGATTATCAGATTACTTCGTCAATTGGAAACACAACAATCTTAGTTTCAAAAAATGTTTCACGTGTTTGAGTAAGGACATACACGTATAAAATGTTTCATAAGATTACTATGTACATTTAAAGATTCACTGCGTATTTCAAAAGTTGTTTTCACAGTGTTTTTACTTTATTTTTTCGTGAATTGGGAATGAAATAACGTAATGTTGAAATGTTTACTTGATAAACAGCTCGTCTTGTACAGGTTCTTTATTGAAATGTTTACATGATAAATAGCTCATCTTGTACACGTCCTGTAGTGAAATATTTACATGATAAACAGCTCGTCTTGTACAGGTACTTTATTGAAATGTTTACACGATAAATAGCTCATCTTGTACACGTCCTGTAGTGAAATATTTATATGATAAGGAGCTTATCTTGTACCGGTTCTTAGGGAAATATTTACATGATAAACAGCTTATCTTGTACCGGTTCTTCGGGAAATGTTTACATGTTAAACAGTTCATCTTGTACAGGTTCTTTAGTGAAATGTTTGCAGGATAAACAGCTCGTCTTGTACAGGTTCTTTAGTGAAATGTTTACATGATAAATAATTTATCTTTTACAGGTTCTTTAGTGAAATGTTTACACCATAAACAGCTCGTTTTGTACAGGTTCTTTTGTGAAATGTTTGCATGATAAACAGCTCGTTTTGTACAGGTTCTGTAGTGAAATGTTTACACGATAAACAACTCGTCTTTTACAGGTTCTATAGCGAAATGTTTACATGATAAATCATTTATCTTGTACCGGTTCTTAGGGAAATGTTTACATGTTAAACAGCTCATCTTGTACAGGTTCTTTAGCGAAATGTTTGCATGATAAACAACTCGTCTTTTGCGGGTTCTTTAGCGACATGTTTACACGATAAACAACTCCATCTTGTACAGGTTCTTTAGTGAAATATTTACATCATAAACAATTCGTCTTTTACAGGTTCTTTAGCAAAATGTTTATATCATAAATAACTCGTCTTTTACAGGTTCTTTAGCGAAATGCTTACATGATAAACAACTCGTCTTGTACAGGTTCTTTAGTGAAATGTTTGCATGATAAATAACTTGTCTTTTGCGGGTTCTTTAGTGAAATGTTTACATGATAAACAACTCGTCTTGTACAGGTTTTTTAGTGAAATATTTACATCATAAACAATTCGTCTTTTACAGGTTCTTTAGCAAAATGTTTATATCATAAATAACTCGTCTTTTGCAGGTTCTTTAGCGAAATGCTTACATGATAAACAACTCGTCTTGTACAGGTTCTTTAGTGAAATGTTTGCATGATAAATAACTTGTTTTTTGCGGGTTCTTTAGTGAAATGTTTACATGATAAACAGCTCGTTTTGTACAGGTGCTATAGTGAAATGTTTACATGATAAATAATTTGTCTTTTACAGGTTCTTTAGTGAAGTGTTTATATCATAAACAACTCGTCTTTTACAGGTTCTTTAGCGAAATGTTTACATGATAAACAACTCGCCTTGTACAGGTTCTTTAGTGAAATGTTTGCATGATAAATAACTTGTCTTTTGCGGGTTCTTTAGTGAAATGTTTACATGATAAACAACTCATCTTGTACAGATTCTTTAGTGAAATATTTGCATGATAAACAGCTCGTTTTGTACAGGTTCTATAGTGAAATGTTTACATGATAAATAATTTGTCTTTTACAGGTTCTTTAGTGAAATGTTTACATCATAAACAACTCGTCTTTTACAGGTTCTTTAGTGAAATGTTTACATGATAAACAGCTCTTCTTGTACAGGTTTTTTAGCAGGACACATTATCCTTTGAAGAATGTATCAATAACCGAGTGCAGAAATTCAAAATGTTCAGTCTTATATAGCTGAAATTATGGGTATTGTTATTTCCGCGTTTCCATTTATAGGATTTGTTTAGAAAAAAATCTTAGGAACCTTGACAAACCTTTAACTCCAGCCCATTTATTATTAGATCTGTTTCCAAAACTGGAAACCACTCATAAGCAGAAGCGGATTAATCAAAAGAGCATTTAATGTGGCATTTAATGAAACTGATTTAACCCTGAAACAGCTGTTGAGATGAAATATACTCCAACTACTTTAATATATATATATATATTTATATATATATACTTTTCATGAGAAGTTTGTTAAGAAAAGACAAACATGTTTTTCAGGTATCAAGGTTATATTAAGAATACCGAATAATTGACTGACAACAATAACACCCTTCGTCTTCAGTAGTAGTGTATAGTACATTACGCACCCCTTGAAATACAGTTTGTTTGTTCGTTTGTTGGGAATTTCGCGCAAAGCTACACGAGGGCTATCTGCGCTAGCCGTCCCTAATTTAGCAGTGTAAGACTAGAGGGAAGGCAGCTAGTCATCACCACCCACCGCCAACTCTTGGGCTATTATTTTACCAACGAATAGTGGGGTTGACCTTCACATTATAACGCCCCTACGGCTGAAAGGGCGAGCATGTTTGGTGGGACAGGATTCGAACCTGCGACCCTCAGATTGCGAGTCGAGAACCCTAACAACCTGGCCATGCGAGGCCTTTGAAATACAGTAAAAACTGCATTTACATGAAACAAGCAACTGCTTTAAACACGAGTTGTCTCTTGTTTTTGTTTAGCCTAAGTAGGGTTATTGATAAGGTGTATTCCAAGTTAATCCATAGAAAGTAATGAATAAAAAATGTGTCCAGCCTTCAAAGATTCTTTGATCAGTTGTTGGGTAAAACAAACATAAAAAGCTTTTCATGCAAAATCTTGAATTATGGAGAGTGTTTGAAAGTTGCCACAATCTTATGTTTTGTAAAGTTAACTTTTGTTTTGTTCAGTCTGATTAGTGTAATAAAGTTTGTCGATAAAAAAAAAAACACGCAAAAAACCATTCGCTTTTACCTGAATGATATCCAGGTAAAATAACTGGGTAATATCTAGTTGGAATAATTACATGATATTAAATGAAATAACTGGACGACACTTACGTGAAATAATTGGATGATACTTACGTGAAATAACTGGACTACACTTACGTGAAATAATTGGATGATACTTACGTGAAATAATTGGATGATACTTACGTGAAATAACTGGACGACACTTACGTGAAATAACTGGATAATATTTAAGTGAAATAATTGTATGATACTTACGTTAAATAATTGGATGATACTTACGTGAAATAACTGGATAATATTTAAGTGAAATAATTGGATGATACGTGAAATAACTGGACGACACTTACGTGAAATAACTGGACGACACTTATGTGAAATAATTGGATGATACTTACGTGAAATAATTGTATTGTATCTAGATAAAGTAATTAATTGAATAATATATAGGTAAAGTAAGTAAATAATTTATTGGTAAAATAAGTAGTTGATATTTAGGTGAAATAAGTGGATTGATTTGAATTTCACGCAAAGCTACACGAGGGCTATCTGCGCTAGTCGTCACTAATCAACGTGGCACAGCGGTCTTACAACTTTAGAATCCGGGTTTCGATACCAGTGGTGGCAAAGCACGATTACATTGTGTAGCTTTGTGCTTAATTACAAACTCTTGGGCTACTCTTTTGCCAACGAATAGTGGAGTTGACCGTCACATTATAATGCTTCCACAGCTGAAAGGGCGAACATGTTTGGTGGGACGGGGATTCGAACCAGCAACACACAGATTGTGGGTCGTACGCCCCTAATCACAAGCGGAGTGATACCTAGGAAAATAACTGGATGATATATAAGTAAGATAGGTAGGTACAGTTGTGTATGGTTGATAGAAAAATAAATACTTAAATGGCGGTTAAAGTAAATGACTTAGTGGTACAGTGGTTATGAAAATCTCCTGATGTAAGAGAAGAATAACCGCTAATCAGATTGCATAGTTAAAAGTTCTCCTTCTTCCATCCCAAAATAAAGTGGGTCGAAACTACTTTGTACTAACCACGAACTCGCGATTTAGTGTTAAGCTTAGTGACAGTCTTAGAGTATTAATAGATATTTCTAATAAAGATCAAATGTAGCTTTTTTATGGCAGTTGAAAAAAAAATCAGTGCTTGTTTAATATCTATATTTACCGCTCCTTTTCTTAGATAGGAGTATATTAGTTTATTATAATATTATTATAACTCAGAAGATGAGATTAGTAGCATAAAACTCACTCACTCATATTTTCAAAGAACGTACATTAACAGGGCTTAATTTTACTGCAGAAAACTACATAGAAAGGTACAAGAAACAATATTTTTCACATATTATCATTAGAACAAATTTAATAGACTTTACTGTGTGTATAATTAAGAAAGTGTGTTTTATACTGAAATAGAAATAAATTGTAAACACGTTAATTAAACTATTATAAATGGTTTATCTTATTAATGATTAGAGTTTCGAAATGAGAAGTGGGAGAAATATTATAATCTGAATGATCATTACGAGAAAAACTATGGAATTTTTTTTTTCAAAAAAGGAAGCAAGGAAAGAGAAAATAAATAAAGCAGTTTAAACGGTATTTCGGTGAGTCAGCGGTAATTTCACTGACTTAGAACGCTAAAATTCGGGGATAGATTCCCCGCCGTGTAGCTTTGCTTCATATATAAAATAAACAGTAGAAAAGGACAGAAAAAAGGGGAAAAAGTAAAAAAATAAATATCACTATGTTTATGAGATTTCCCATAATGCCTGTCATGATTACTTGTGACGTTTCATAAAGTTTGCAATGATTCAGAAAAGCTTTTATATGTGAGATCTAATTTCATACGTTTATAAGGACAAGAGGAGAAAGAGAGACAGACAGACAGAATCAATTTTGCAACTCCCGTCATTATTTGTTGAACAGTAAATGTAAACGCACGAATGCTATGTCCATGTGATGAATATTTAGAAGATACTTGTGATTTTTTTCTATTTTATTAATGGTTATTTTTATACAATATGGTGCGAGGCGAAGAAAATCTATAAACTTAATAACTAATTCCCTGCCTTTTGAGTTTACCGATAATTCGAGGACACCTGTAGGCTTAGTTGAAGGAGAAACTGAAGGAGTACTTCACATTAACTGTTTGAATTTGATTAACAGTTATATCAGTTTTTAATTATACATATAACAAGATGTGGAGTTATTGTAGCTTGAAGGCTGGCAGCAAACAAACTCTGCAAATCGTCTTTTAAATGAGAATTACTAAAATTTTCAATTTAGACGTTACATTGTAGGATATATATATATATATATGTCTATAAGTTATAGTATGAGATATACAGATGAGGCGTACCAATACGCGATCAGTAACCTAGAGGTTATAGTGATGGGTATACATATGAGACATACTAATATGTGATCAATAACCTAGAAGTCACAGAGGGGATATATATACACGAGAAATGCTAATATGTGATCAATAACCTAGAAGTCACAGAGGGGATATATATACACGAGAAATGCTAATAT